AAAGCAATCGATCATGTAATGAAACAAGAATGTTCACTTTATACACAATTACCACAGTAAGTTGTATTTATGGGTTGAAATAAGGGAGACAGTGAAGGACTGGATAAGGTACTAAGAAGAACGAGGGTAGATAATTGAGGAGGTAATAATATTTCTCCGAGGAGTATTTATCGCAGAATCCGTCTCCCAAAAGCTTTCGCAAGCTCTCCCACTCACCCAAATGACGGTTAGCCATCATCTTGCTCTGACACTTCGGATCAGTCTGATTTCCGCAGTGCATGTATAAGNCAAAAGTAGACTACCAAACATGTTGCACTAGCCTCCTGTGGTAAGAACCATAATCGTCTTATCTGTCAAAGGTTGACATGCTCTGCTTAACGCTCTAAATGCGACATACCTGGCAGTACCCAAAAGAGACCGCTGCCATTGTGGCGTTAGTGGATCTGTAACTGCACGACAGCACTCAGATTAGCTGAGATTCAGCACGGAATATCCTTATTGCAGCCCCCAGGACCCAAGCTAAACTAAATATGGAGCGGTGGTGGCCTTCTGCTTCCTGTTTACCAGCCTCAACCACAATCCGGCAACGTATTAAATGGTTCGCAGTGTAGTGACGATGATTGTACGAAGAAAAATAGCAATCCACGAGTACGTTTCCGTTCACACTCTCTTCACAATCAACTCTGACTCTCACTGTCATTACTTTCCGTCTTACTTCACTTCTTGTGTTTTACTGAGCACGGTTTTCCACTCAGGTGTATATATGAACTGGGTCCTGTTGAAACTCACGCAACGCGTGCGACACGCTTTCGCCTTGCTACTGCATTTATTTTCTTGCATTGTTTAGTCGTCACAAAGGCGCGTATTCAGTGCTTTCTAGTACCAAGATACGCCAATAAACGTTTACGATCACCATGAGTGTTTTTGTCTACCCAGGGAAACGACACACTAGGAGGTCTCACGCTTTATTCGAGATCCGTAAGAAGACTTATCGGCAGGCCGTCAACGTCGATTAACTTTAAGTGTACGTGAAAGTTAAATGTACATTTGTATATCCAACAAATAAAAAAGAGCTTTTTATCACTTTTTTCAAAAACACATCGGTATCTATATCAATACCTGCATCCCGACCATAACCCTAGTAGTTGAAGGATGGCTTCTTCCAGCGGTGTCGACACTCGGGCTGTTTATCTGATGTTGAAGCATCTCCAGGATAGGTCACTATTTCACAAATCTACCAGCATATGTTCGTCAGTATGTTGACACAATCATACTCCAGCTGCAAGGGTATTCAACCTCCAACTAATGCTCACGCATGAAAAATGGAACAAACAACGTTGGAACCATAGACATATTCACTTTCTTTGTTTACTACAATAATGGTGGTGGATTAGATTCTTCTGTGCGTTATTCTCAAGACAGTCCAATAAGTAAGTGGACCGAAATAAGATAACCGGCCCGAATGTTTATGCGCACAGGATAACTAGAGATAACCGTCAGTACGCGGTGCATAGGCACCACATGCAACCCGGCCAATTAGTTTCTGATTCACCGAGTTTCGACAAGAATAAGGCAAAGGACCAAACGTCACTCGATCAACGCCTAAAGGCCCTAGGAATAAACCGACCAGCTCGTCAACACACAAATGACAATCAACGATTGCATCAGTGATAGCTTATTGGTAAAACCATTCTCAAGTCGACGAAAGTATCGCTGTCTTTCACGCCACTTTCGAGATTGGCTTTTAACCAGTTCACGACACTTGCATCTTGGGGCTCGGATGACTACTCACTAACCCAAAGAAGTATCGGCATTTTCAATTTAACTGGTTCCAACCTCAATGTTTTGTATTGCCATCAGAGACGAAAACGTAGAAGCAGCGTTGGAATGCTCAAGGTCACAACTCCAACGGATGTGAAACATGAGTGGCGTTCACTCAGACAAAGTCACAAATCCATTCAACCATTAACAACACGCTCAAGACCTTCGGGATATTCCCCAGCACTTTCCTCATGATGTAAACTGAAATACGAACCCAACAGCGCTAAGGACTTCCTCAATAGCAATCAGGTCTCCGCATGTTTATTTTCATTTTCTTCTGCAACCCACTTGGTTTACCGTGCATATACCGAAAACAAAAAGAATGGTGCCAGAATTCCTCGCTTTTATTAGAGATGAACGGCAAAAACCATGCAAGCATCAACATCAATATACACATATAGGACCTAAACAAAAGTTTAGTTTAGTAATTAGGATGGCAGAAAAAAGATACAGCCGTCGCTAAATGGACCCCATGCGGTGAACAACGAACGTTATGTTACAAAACAAGACACTAACAAAATACAAAAATACAAAGTGTTCGTCTGGCGATATATACAACGCATCAGAAAAATGCACGAATTGAAAAACTGGCGTCCACTTGGGAAAATCAAGAAACCTCATTTTGACTAGATTTCTGCTGATGGCGTTTAGTCCAGGCTATTTTATTTTTGACCTCCTGTCGCGCGTCCTTTGCAGCTTCTTTTCTAGCAAGGGATTCCAGGAGATCATTGAGCTCATCTTCCTCACTGCGGATGTGTACCACCGTCGGATTATTAGAATTGAGTCGATCATTTTGACTGATGGAAGCGTGATGTGTAATGGGAGTGAACCGCATTTTTGTCGGCGATGGAGCAGCTATTTCACATGGCTGATCTAAAAAGTCGGACGACACAGTTCGCTTTCTGGGGTTTATCTTACTGGGCGATTTTGCATGACTGATCACCTCGGCAGTGCTCTCCACGATTTGTGCTGATGGCGGAGGTAACGCGTCCAGGTTGGCAAACAGTTTTGCTTTTATACCATCGAACAGCCGCCCGTCTTTCCCACGCCGAATACAAGATAGGACATCATCAATGGTATCATTTAGGCGGTCTGTGAATAGTGAGTGACTGGAATCTGAAAGATGAGTATGCGGTAACGTTGCGGATGCTTTAGCAATAATAGGATTTGGACTTCTGCCCTTGGATTTCGCTATAAAGGGAAAGAGAGAAATAAGGCAGAATTATCACCGTATAAAGAAATGCGGTGAAGTGAATTTCACTCACCACTACCAAGCACATAATTTGTGAAAAGTAAACACCAAAATGTAACCACAAAAAGATAAGACCCGCTTGAAGGATAGATAGGCATGTACCCAGTAAAACACCCCAATCAGGTTAGAAGAATGCGATCAATGGTCGGTAGTATGTGAAGCGATTGAACGCAAGATAAGAATATGATTATATTGTGTCCAACTTAATCAAAGATTGATCGACCCAATTTTCAGGCGCGGGCATATTCCTGCCAGGATTGCTCGATAGTACATGACGTATTTTCTTGAGATTCCTGGGTACGCGTTTCACCTGCATTCTCTGATTAATTCAGCCGTACCAACTGAACCGAACTGAGTGGGTTTACATTTTTGCTTGCTTACCGGCCTATATACAAATAAGGAAGCGCGTACTTCACCGCATGATCATATAATTGACTGTAACACAACAGATAGGTACAACTACAGTCTGATAGGAATCTCTCATCTTGTACTTAGGATGCCATCCATCTTTTATTCTAGTTTTTTATGTCGAAAGCTATAGTGTGATTGTGGATTCAGAAAACTAAGAATAAACTATACACACATTCAACTCCCTCTTGTAATATAAGGTAAAACTTACTCCCAGTTTTGTAGATACACACAAACTAAAATGTAAACATCAGCAATGAAATGAAAAGATCCGCTTCGGAAGAACCTGATCGGGTTTCGTTCTATTTCTCATTACATGGGGCATTTTGTAACTTTTTTTATAGCTCTTAAGGCTTGCTACGTCAAAAATTTAAGTGTGATATTTGATGAGAAACATTTTAAAATGTCATTGCAAAACACATTTCAGTCACTCAAACACTTCAGCCTCAATTTTCCCAGTGTCGTGTGACAGTTCTGATTGTTGATTATCCAGTTAATCGATTAGCAAGGAAGCAGTAAAGATAATTGCATTACCAGGAGTTGGGCACACTCAATAGATGGATTCTCACCGGTACGAATCTAATTCTCAGTTTCACCACTGCAAACACAACCAGCAGTTGAAAATGATTTTCCCTGGGTCTCATCGAAAGGCGTCAAGAAAACGCAAAAACTCAGCAGAAACCTAGGGTGTCAAGACGCCGTGTGTCGGGTCAGAAATCATTAGGTCATCAGAATTATGAGTATTTTTGAAAGATGAACAGTGCTGATTGAAGTTACCATGTGAGGTGGGTTTTCAAGTACTGATGGGATCACTTGCATCCGACGAGAATCAGTTAGTTCGGTTATTTGTCTATCACTCTTTGCAGACGGTGCGGTATTGACCCTTTTTGCCGCAAAGACAACAATGGCGTTTCTAGTAGAATACTTGCAACGTGGATGTAGGATGTAACCAAAAAAGAAGTTGGCTTTGCAGCAGTCCGAGTGATTTGCTCCGCTGTAACTCATGGTTCACGAACTTCCTGAGGCGAAGACAGTGGCACATAAGTAACGCCAAATATAGGGAAATGGACCGATATGTGGACAGGACTAGATTGCTTCTGTTTCAGCAACTTCACCAAATCAATCGTTGTCCTCAGTTATTGCGTTTTGAGCCCTAGCAACATATCTAATAGAGACTGACGCTAATCCACCGTTAAAGGAATCGCACGAAGCTGCATCTCGATGTCGTTCAGTAGTGTTAGCTGGATAGCTACGATTTAAGACGAGTGACCGAAATCTACGTTAAAAAAAGATCTATAGATTTATAGATTTTTTGTTTACATGCTATTACCAGGCAAAAGCATTGTTCTTCCGGTTAATCGAACGCAGACTTGCAGATTAAGTCGGCGGTTTCACAACCAAGACCATATTTCTCATTGCACAAAATTAACGAAGATGGCTAACTGATAGGTGTTGAATTGATTATAGGAAATTAGTGAAAATACAGTGCCAATAAGATTCGACACCTTCTGGAGAGTTTGGGTCGGAGCCAAAGCATTCCTGGAGGAGAAGCAATTCCACGGGGAATGCGAAGAATTAATTGTGATAAGGCTTCAAGTGATGAGCCTGCAAGAGTAGTGAACGAGGTGAGACCCGTTTGCACGGCTTCATTCAACTCATTACCGAGTTACGGGTCGCTAAACAGAAACGATTGGTCGAAATGGCAACGGAGTGTAGTGTGCGACCGAAAACGACAAAACTGATATCACCACATTACGTAATGTACCATAAATAAACTACGCGTAATTCGTTTGTCCTCGTCAGTTGTTTATTATGGTATGCAGCCTTTTAGATGTCGAGTCCAGCTATACACACTACCATAAGCAAAAGGATATTGCAGAAAGCTCTCCTTGTTGATGTGATTTTATCAGAATATGAACGCAAGAGTAGGTTGGCTTTATTCGAGCTAGGTGCATTTAGGATGTCCCTTCGGAGTAGATCCGTGTTGCTCAGAAAACGGGTAACTGCTGCTGATTCCATGTTTTGACCATACCCTGAATGCTCTGCATTCTTATAGTGTAATAATTTGTGGCCCGACACGCCGTATCATGGCACCCTAGATCTTCGCTGAGTCTTTGCGTTTTCTTGATGCGCGTCGGTTAGCCTCAAACAACAGCGTGCACAGTGGAACACTTTGAATATTGTGAGCAGGCATTGGCCCCGTATTGCAGAAAGAATTAAATGTGCTAGGAGAAGATACAACGGTGTTCCAACATTTCGAGAACGGAAGCGGGTGATCCATAGTTTTTCAATTATAATATCCGGGTTTCTAGAAAAACCCTAGTTAAATCTTCTGCTAGATCATTTGTGACTAAAACGCGTTTAGGAGATACACATCTTATATTGGTGAAATTAATCTCGGGGTACAAAAACATGTATATTATAGGAGACAAATTGTAATTCGTGTTCGACGTATGCACGTGCATCTATGCGCTGACCACAACAATTGGTAACGGGGACAAGTATTTCCTGTCCCGGAACCAATGGCTACGATGTAGACAGAGCTTATTCAAAAATAGCGGATGCTTGACCTATATTCACTTAGAATGGTGAGACATCTGATTTCACGAACGGCCTCGTTGATTCAGAAAGTAGTATAACAGACTATTTTAAAGTTGGAATGATGAACACGGAATTTAAATGTGGTACTAACATGACAACTTTTCCATGAGACATGGATTGTAATGCTGACTGCTTGTGAATGTCAGTTATCCCGAGACGATGTACATAGTTGAATTATGTGCATAATCAGTGCCATTGTGCCACCGTTCTCGTACAGTGGAAACAACACAAATCCAGTGGTTCCATAGCTCAGTTAACTTTCGCGGCGAAGAAACACCTACGGACTCTACTATTTGTCCACAGTAGTAAATTAGAGACAGGCTGAGCATTTTATACGCACAGAGCATGGAAATGTAGAAAGGAGCCGGTCGAATTTAAATGAAAATACGGCGCGGGAGAAAATAACAGAATGCCCTTAATAAACATGACCGTTCTAGACATCCATTTGGTGGATAAGGGATACTGAGCGTCTTAGATTGAAAGCCATAAATGACACGGTTTGTATTCTGGTTTCGTGGTGGAACAGAACGCATCACGGCGCGCGAAGTGTATTGAGGTAATAATTGAAGAGGGGGAATCAAGGGTGGTCAAAAAAAGACCTGGCATCTAACCAGGAGACCCGGTCATATAGGTCACGTTAGACCCCCTGACTGGGGACCTTGGGATCACTATAATCAATGGTTAGAGACACTGAGTGAAATCGCTGAGCGTTGTAAACACTGGCGCCCGTGCATCCTCTCAGTTGCTTTGACAACATAGTCTATCGAAATTTTTCATTTTTTTTCGATTTAACTTTCTATCTGGCTCCTACTGCTTCATCCAAACGGGCAATCAAAAATCAACAAAAACCGGCAGACGAAAATGCACGGTAAATGGATGTACAAACAGAAACTGAACTGCATTCGTCAACTTCAAAACACCTTCAATGATTCAAAAAGGTCGAAATTGCAGGCAACGAAACCAACAAGGGATTCGCGTATTCGCGTCAGCCGGGTTTGCTTTCACTTCGCCTCTCTGATGCACGTTTTATGAGAATTGTATGATTTATCTACCATGATGTGTATGTTATGCAAGTGTCGCCGCATGCGGTATGGCACAGGAATTGAACTCACCTGAGGAGACAGAAGGCTTCTTATCCTCGGGTGACGATAACTTGATAGGCGGTGTGGAATGTCCATTAGTGAAACTTTTACGGACCGTGGTAGCACGAGAAGAACGCCGATTGGGAGTAGCAGAATCCGCCAAAGAAGCCACAGTGGAAGTGAGTTGATCCAAACGATCAGAAATAGATTTTAATGTAGGTTCCTCTGGAAATGTAATGGTAGAAAAGGTGCGAATAAGGGGGACCCTGTGTGGAATAAAAACCTCACAAACGATGTGCACAGGGACGAACACTTTCACTGCCATAGTAACGGCAATCAGTAATCGCAAGATGGAGAGCATAATGAAGTTGCCGTTTTTCTTTTACACAGCGGGAATTTCACATCCGATATACCTCCAGACGATCAAATGATTTGTACTTGCCCGTATAAAAGTTACCCTGGATCTAACCGACACCGTTATTTGGCTCCAACTACTTTTAAAGAATGAAACAGTGTCACCGAATACGGAAAACACATAACTGAACATCTGCCACCGATCTCGGTTGTTAAGCGGTCTTCCATTTTCGACTATTAGGATTCTAGTAACTGACCTATCCTCGTGTGTGAATGCAATTTCTCTATACAACTTCATGCGTATTGGAAGGTGACCTGGTGAAAATGAAAACCTTATGTCAAATTTATGAACAAAACTGAGCATTAGTTTCACTTTGTACAACCATTAACCATGCACTCTCGTGTGTCAAATTTGGTTGCATATTTGGATGAAGCAGTAGGAGACAGACAGAAAGGATGGAAAGTTTTAGTAGACTTAGGTTGTAAAGAAATTGAGATGCATCAACGCCACTGTTTACGACACTCAGCCATATCACTCAGTGTCACTAACCTTTGATACCCTCGAACCAGGTCTAAGCTTGACCAACCTTGGCATTTTTCATCTATTGCCTGCCTCGGTAAACATCGCGCACGATGACAACCTATTTGATGGCATGCATAAAACGTGCGCCAACCAACGTAATCTATGGAGCTGGACAACTTGTTCCAGTGAGCGGCCGCGTTTACTTAAGACTTTGCGCCTAACCTTGGCACTGCTGTTGTATAGACTGCTGCAGCATACACTCGACCCTTAACAGACAGCCAGATGTCACGACGGCCCCACAGATGTCTCAAGTTGGCAAACGCCAACCAAGCCTTTTGTATGCGGACTGACACTTCATCCGTGATGCGTCCACCGGGTGAGATGTAGCTGCCAAAATAAAACTTATCCACCTGCTCTATTACTTCCCCAGTTAGGGTGAGACTGGGCGCTGGATCAACCCAATCTTGTAGTAGCATTTTACACTGAAGGTGCAAAACGCATACCGAACATTGCTACATTGGCATTCAAACTCTCCAGGAAGCTTGCAATTTACCTGGATCTTAACTTAGTATTACAATATCGTCTGCATACTCCAGATTAGACAGTCCAACACCTGGGAAAAATTAGATGCCACTATCCTTGCACAAGGATAGGGCTGTTTCAAGAATTAAATCTATAACAAAGTTAAATGGAAAATGAGAGAGAGCAACCCTGACGAAGATCGCTTTCCGTGGTGAACTTGGGCGAAAGTGCCGAGTAGGCTTAGGTTATTAGTATCAGGAGGTCGCAAAAGTGAAATAAACCTATTGGGGACACCTTTCAGAGAGAGGCAGCGCCCGAGTATAGAGTGGTCGAATAAGTCGAAGGCCACTTCAGATTGAGTAAGATAGAAATGTTGGGTCTATGAAAGGAGTGTCTGTGTTCTAAAACTCGGTTAAGTGAGAAAATGTGGCCGATACAACCTCGACCAGGTCTAAAACCAACCTGATTCTCAAGCGTGCACCGTTCACGTGGGCAGATAATAGACGGAGTATGATCCCAGCAAGAAATTTAGAGTCAATGTTGATTAAACTAATTCCTCTGTGGTTTTTACTTGCCTTGGCCTGGGCAACCTGGCAGTATTCAGGCCACAAGCTAATCATGAAATGTTTATTTCTTTAATAAAGAGTATTGTATCACGATTTGATTAGCACACAGTCTAGAGTCAGACGAGTGAAATAATATATATAATGTGTTTGTGGTTTTCATGTGGATCTGCCATCTTCCTTGTGAATCGTTAAGATGATCGATCCACACCACTCAGTTGCAAGCTGTTCCCTCTCGCATTTTGAGCAAAGGAGTTTCGTCAACTCCAAAGCAAACGCTGAACCTCCATCCTTAAAGACAGATGAGGATAACCCATTTGGGTCGGAGGCCTTATGCCTTTTGAGATAACGGATTTCCCGGGTAACATTCATTTCACATGGAGGACTGGTATCAAATGGGAGTACTTGCCCGGTCTAGGTGGGGAGAGAGGTGAGAAGTCCGGATGTCGATGGGGGCCAGGTGAACTAAGCCTCGAAATGTTTAACCCATCGATTAAGATGGCGTTGCTGTTGGTGAATCGGATTCCTTAACTACCTTAGGCCTATGTTCCTAAAGCCCGCATTCTTAATTAGAAGGAAAAGAGTGTAGCTTTCTCTATCTCTTTACACTTTTCTATCGGCCACTTCTCGTTGTCGTTCCTCATACTTTTGATCAGCCGGCGTCTAAAGGAGTTGCGCGCTGTGTTACGTGGCATCAGGAGGAAGGGTTCTGTAAGCGCCCGGAATGGTAGCCGAGGTTGACGAGATCCGTCATTTGTGCTCTGAGCCTGCGCCACAGTCGGTCGTTGTTTTTATGGATTTTTGCATTGCTTCCGATGTTCATCGAGATCCTCGGTTAGTGGTTGAACTGATAGGCGATCGGAGAGCTCCACTTTGAAGGCCAATTTGCAACTACCGCTGACATTATATCGTGCGTACCCGTTTCAGGTGGCGCTTTTGCTGATGTTTGCCAGGCGTAAGGAGAATTTTGCTCGTTACAAAGCGTGGTCCGTTTGTACAAGTATTGACTCGTGAGAGTGAGTCTTGAATTAACCCCCTCCAGCAGTACTGATGAAGGTGTGATCGATTTGTGTCTATCACTGTGAACAGGATGGGATTCTCCAAGTAGGACGGTGTAGTTTTTTTGTGTAAAAAGTTCGTGCTTGACAGGAAATATCCGTGGTCCACGCGAACTAGAAGTAGACCATCCCCGTTGTTTGTCCGGTTGGCTGGGATTGCATGTAGACCACCAAGACGCCTTTCTGATCTATCTAAGGATCACACCTGAGCGTTGAAGTCTCCGGCGAATACATCGATGTCCGCGTATTAATACGGACATAAAAAAATGCAGTGATTGTGACTCGTCACTTTGAAATGTCGATGAGGCAGCTGACTGACCATACAATTAGGGCTAGTTTAAGGTGCAAANCAAAATTACACAAACTTATCTCTGCTAGTGGAATTATTGTTTCTCTTTTCATTGGTAATTGACTCATCATAAGTGAGGGAAAAATTCAGGTCGGCATAAGTGAGCAACTTTCTCGGGCTTCCAACAATCCTCCTCTGAATTAAACCTCCCCAATTTCCAAGTTGTCTATCCAGGTGAAACGCTTTCATCTCGCAATTCCTACTTCGCGTCAAAAACGAATAACGCTGACAGAAATAACTGAATGCTATCACATAAATATATATCAAGGAGAATTATTACCAAGTTGGAGTACTGGTGAACGAGAGACCCGAGCGATAAGAAAACCCTGTTCCTGTGAACAGCCACAAATAAATTTTCGGCAATGGGCACGTAAACGAAAGACCAAAGGATATTCCAAAATTTATTCCGTCATTCCGGATGGCTAGATTTGGTGCCTTGCAACAAATAGATGTTTTCATTGCACTGTCGCTCACGAAGGGGCCTCCAGAAGCCATAGCA